TCAATCATACAATGTGGAAATTATATTTGTGTAAAGTACTTAATATGTTATATCTTTAGATGAAAATAGAATTATTGTTATAGTATAGCATATAGCAAGGGATGTAGAATAATTCTTGTTTCTTATAGTGAATGACATGAGTGTGTTTGAAAACACAAAATATACCTATTTACATTACAACCTTGGACATACTGAAAACAAAGCTATAATACATATAGTGTTTGAAAAGCATCAATTAAAATGGGTACTTAGATTAATCGGGCGAAATAATGTAAATAATGCACACAAACTTAGCATTATGGATATGGATATTGGATGTTTCTGATCCAGTGGGTTTATAATTATTATTACAGTTAATATATTGCCACAAAAACCTGCACTGTGCTGATTCACCTGCATCTATTAACTTTTCTTACAATATCAGGTTGTCACTTCATTTGATGGGGGCAGGGGTCTATTTTATAATTTATATATTTCTTGGGGATGATTTAACAGTAAGGTGTGAACTGCAAAAACTATTAAGTCATGTTTATTTTTTTATCAGTTTTATTGACAACTTAATTGAATTTATTATAACTAACGAGGCTATGCTCAAAAGTGGCAGAATATTTACTTAGTACGAACATTTATAATCAAGCACCTCTTAATTCGTTGTCCATTGACCATGGTATTTTCATAAGAAGGGCATATTTTTAAAATTTTGTACATTTTCTTCTGACTTCTGAATACTTAATCAAATATATTAGTACGAATATTGTAACCTAGTCGTGGCGATTTTCTTTTTTAAAATTGTTATCTTGGTTTGAATGTTTAGTTTTTGGACAAGAATAATATTTATGGCATATACACGTTGATACAGGTTTCTACAGAGATTATTTGAAATATTTTTTCTAAAATACTGGTAGTGACGAATAATAGTAATTTTACGATGCCCATCGAAACATTCCTTATAATATATTAATAGAAATTTTTAGTTTTCATAAAATAAAATGAAAAATATTTGTAGTTCTGCTAGACTAATTTGCATTTTTCTGCCAAGTCTGCTAAAACTAGCAGCAAAGACAAGCATTTTTTCAAGTTTATTATTTTGTTTTAGATCTACTGCTTCCTCCATTAATGATACACTTTGCAAGAAGTGTTTTCTAGAATTTATCCTAAAAAATCATTCAGTTCATAGAGTGAGCTCGCCATGTCCTATCCGTTACGTTATTTAGACGAATATACAAACAAATTTTGTTTTCTACCAAATCTTAATAACGTAAAGTTATTAAAAATATAGTGCCAGGATTAGTGCCTAAACATAAGTAAATCTATTATAAATCAGTATTATCAAATCAAATTTGGATTGTGTACTTATTTTAATGCCCTATTGCATTTTTCATTAAATATTTTCAATTTGGTATTATTAAAAATTAGAATACTTAATAAAGGTGATAGGTCTTTCTACCTTAATGTAGATAGTTTATATATATACTATGTTATAAATATCATTTCGTTTTATCTTCCGTCTAACAGTTCTACATTCCAAAAACATTTTACATATACTCTAAAGGTTACTTAGTATTTATAAAATTTTAATCATTATTCCATACTTAGTCACAAATAATGTAGTAAATTCTTTTAAAAATCTTGTTTCTTATGTTATAGAGCATGCGTTTGCATAAAACATAGATTCTCTAGTATGTAGGGAGCTTTGTTATATACCGTACATTTAGTATTGGGTGTGTTACAATTTGTGGCCTGCTATCCGCCTTATTTAACCTTATTTAAATGTATTTGATAAGAACAGCTTGGCAAATGGTAATGAATTAAGTGTTGATAATAATTACTTTTTTTAAATGCACCATTCGAGATTTCTCGCTTTATCATTGAACGTAATTTGTTGATATTTATATTATATATTATGTCTACACCTATTTAGAAAATAGTTATTCTCTCCAGTGACTTAGAACAGGCAGCTAGCTGTACGTTGTGTGAAGAAATCTTTAAATGTTGATAAGTGCCTTAAATTGTTTCAAGCATCTTGGTATTAATTTTTAAGGTTATTTAATGTTGAGTAGATGAAGATTAATCATTGACATCACAACCTATTTCATTGATAAACAAATCATGTCATTATCAATATAATTTATTTGTATCAGTTTCCATAAGGTTTTTATGCCAAATATATTGTAATATTATGAAATCACATTGTTTATAAGAAACTGTTATGAAATATAAATTTTGAAATATTCTTTTGTAATTTATTTTGGCTCCTCCCCCTTGCGTTAAGGCGGTACCCCGACCAAAACCTTGCAAAAGTGCGTTTTTCAGAGACTATTATCTCATTATTTATGAGAAATAAGCTACATCTAAAAGCACATTTTTAATGTTCGATATCCTATCATCACATTCCACGTTCTAATTTGTTTTTATGTGTTATAAATACATTTAAAATCAGCTTTTAAAAAATGACTAAAATTATTGATGACATGCATCTGTTGCTAAAGGCAACGCTCTGATCATTTGAGGATTACACTAATGGATAGATAATTTAAAAATCTATATTTTTCACGTTTTATTTCATTTCTTAAGTTCGCTTTTCTTTTTTAATTAAAATAATTCCAACAATTCGGGCGTATTTTTACGCGATATATAGTAGCGAGAGCGCGTGGATTGTATAGGACTGAACGCTCAAGGTCGTTCGCTAGGGGAAACGTCTTAAGAACATATTGTAATATTTTCAATCATTTTTGTTTACTTATTGACATAATTACCTATTAAAAATGCAGTACCAAATTTTTAAACATTCCATTGCCTCATTCCCGGCCTGGCATTGTTTTTTTATTTGCAGAACATGTAAATTTATACTTACATCACATCTTCGCCTATAAGTACCACAAAGTCTGAAGACATACGTCTTAAACCAGTACCGAGGCCGAAACGTGGAGACTGACGATACGGCTAATCCATAAACTCAAAGTCGATCAGCAAGCGATGGTAAGAGCTATGCTTGAAGTTTTTCTGGTGGATAAAGTTCTTGAAGGAATTCACCGGAGAGCCAAGAATACTGACATAGACTTCCATGTTTGTAAACTGAAGTGGCAATGAGCTGGTCACGTCCGTCGTAGAAATGACAACCGGTGGAGTAGACGTGTTATGAAATGGAGACCGCGCCTAAGCAAAAATAGTGTAGGACGCCCACTGACTACATTTGGAGCCACAATATACGCAAGGTGGCTGGTAGAAACCTGTGTAGCTGAAGATCGGGTCAGATGCTTCATTCCCTCGATGTTCTTTTTCGTCAAAATGACTTTCAATAAGAATTACTTGTAATCCACATTGAATAATAAAATAAGGACCTGGATGACCGAGCTTTGCTCGGTTTCTTCTTTTTTTGGAAATCGTGTGTTTTGGAAATTATATTTAGATACAAATTACATACTGATGAAATATGAATAATATTTTTTGATCTTACCGACATAATAGAAAAGGCTGAACTGGTTATTTGAAGAAAAAATCATGAGTGCGCTTAGTTTAATTTAAATTTCCGTGTTTTTAAAAAATACTAAAAAAAGGACCCAAAATAATAGATTTTCTCACAAAAGAAGGGAAATTAAAAAAAAAAAGGAAAAATAGTCGGACGGTTCCGAATTGGTACGATTTCGAGACCGCCCGATATTCAATTTGAGCTATAATAATCATTAACACATTGCCAAAATTTACCTTCTTATTCTAATGCTATTGTAGAGGTTTTTCATTGCCTAAAAACACGGATAAAACGACATTTTCTAAAAATGAATCCCCGAAAACCCCCTGGATACAAAATTTTATGAAAATCGTTGGAGCTATTTCCTAAATTCCGATTATATTTTACGTGATTGTGTGCACTGAAAAAGATTTGAAATTTCATACATATAATATTATACTAATCAATAACAAGTGGTAAAATTGAAAAACTTGTACAGCCGACTTCAATATAAATAAAATGCGATCATCATCAATGTACTTAAAGTCAATTAAGTTAAGGATAATTCAAAAACTACTGATCTGGTCATGGTTAAATTTATACTAGACCAAATGAGAAGCATCAACTTCCAAAAAATCATCAAAATCGCTTCACCTAGAAAAATGTTCAGAGGTCATTAAAAAAACTTAGTCGAATTGAGTACCGTCAACTAAGGCATCTTTACCTTCCCTTGTCATCTTTACCTACCACTGACAAGTAATAAGAAAAATAATTTTTTATCAGAAACTACTAATGGTAGATATTTCATAGACACATTAGTTGTTTCGTAATGAGCCAATGGTCACACAATTTTTTTTAATACTGGCAGCACTGTCAAATGACAAGTTATAAACGTTTGTTGATACTACAGAATACTATTACGTTGATACTCGCGGGACACTTGTCGCAGCAGATTCTGGTCAAAATTTTAATTGTGCTTGTGAATTCACTTAGCAAGTAAGTAGAATTGATACATATTATATATAACCTTCCTAAGAAGACGTAGAAACTGTTATAATGGTAATTTTTTAACAATTTTATGAGAAATTTGCATAGGCAATGATAGTTGAGGCTAGGTAAAGTTGCCACAGTTTGTACAGTGGCGTCTTTACCTGTAGCTAGGGTTGTCACTATACTTTACCGGTCTCTATACGTAAATGTTTTACTTTTAGGAGGGCTTACAAGCTGATTAAAACTTACATAACAATATTAATACACTTATTCTAATAATAATCACAATGCAATTGTTTATACTTATCATTTCCATTTATATATTTATACAGCCCAACTAGATGGGAAAACTATTAAAATACTTAAATAATAAAAATTTTGAAAAAATATGTCAGAAGGATGAGTATAAGAACCAAAAACCTCTAAGATAATTCTTCGGATTCGGACTCTGACTGCTCTGAACAGTATGCAGATTCTTCGGATTACAATTCAATTGAAGACATGCAGGATTACTTATTGAGACAACTGATAGATCAGAAAATGGATGAAAAGGAATGAACAAATGGCCTATTTGGAAACGAAAGGACATGAGACAGAAAGATTGAGAACGGAAAGTGATGTATGGATAGAAAACGAGATGTTAAATGACAAGGAGAAAGAAGAATTTGGAAAACAGGAAATACAAGAACAAATGAAAGAATTGGAAAAAAAGTATGAGATAAAAAACCTGAGAATAGAAAGTGATAATAGGCGAGTACAAGAGATGGTATATGAATATGACTTGGAGAAAATCGAATATGAAATACAGGACACAGAGGAACAAATGAAGGAATTGGAAACAAAAGGACACGAGGAAGAAAACTTACGGATAGAAAGTGATGAAAGGAACGGACAGAATGTGGAAAAACAGATGGTAAATGAATATGAAATGGGGAGAGGCTTATGGGAAGACCATGAAACAGTGAAACAAATAAAAAAAACTGGAAACAAAAGAACACAGAATAGAGAAGCAGGAAAGAAAACAACAGATAGAAAGCCTAATAATAGAAAACGATGAAAAAAAGGACTGAAGATAAAACGACCTACACTAGAAGAGACTATGTCAGAAGAAGAAACTAAAAATGAATAAAATGAGAAGGCAAATAAAGCCGAAAGTTTATATATGGAAGGACAATACATCTTGGTAAAGTTTAAAAGTACCAAAAATACGTATAAGTATTACTGCGGCCTGATTACGAAAATATCCGAATGTGAAGGTGTTTTCGCGAAATTCATGAGACATAAAAAAAGTGGGTTTTACTGGTCCACAGTACCCGATACAAGTATTGTATTCGAAAATGATATACTTAGTGCAAATTTTACCCAACCCCTATAAAAACCGGCGTGGAATTTTATATTTTGATGTCAAATTTAAATATAAATTGGAATAATACTTTTAGTTTTATTTTCAATACACGTTGGCTGAAACTATGACAGTATAAGTATGATAAATATGTGACAACTAGTACTTTAAATACATTATATACTTTACAATTTTTACAAGTTTATCGCATGGTATTTACAGAACACTATGCGATTATCTCTACTATCTCTATCTATCTGACTTGCATTTAATCAATGTTTTATAGCCGTTATTTTAACTTCATCTTTAAACAAGTGGCAGCCCTGATAATAAATTTCATTTGTATGAGAATTTCAATGGAGTCATGCCATCTTTACCTATCAGCCTGTATTGCTCGTATATATATTTTTTATTTAAAGTACTGTTACGAGCTTCAGGTTCGTGACAATAAAAACTGCCGATAGAATTGCCTAAATTAACACTTTAATTCACTTTACACTAATTAAAGTGAAAAACACTAATAATTAATCACACTGATTCACTTTATTCCGCTCCGAAGCTTCGCTTGTCTCGCCAACTTCAATACTTTCCGATCGCATCTTGCAGCGCCTATTTATATAAATTAGCAGCGAAATATCCAGAATATTCAAGTAAACACGCGCAAGGTACCGAGAGTTCGTGTCAAGTTTTTCCACTTCAAGAAGTTTAGTTCTTCGGTTCGAGACTAGATGGCGCTAGTGCCGTCGACTTTAGCGCGTAACACTGCCCCCTCCTAAGACATGCTCGTCCCGAGCATTATCAGCCCCATAATAACGCGCCAGGCGATCCACATGGACGATCTTAGGAGTCCCTCTTGCGCCTTTCTGTAACGGCTCCGCAATGTCTAGGGCTGTCCTATCCCATGGTGCACCAACATTGCACAATTTCGATGCTCCTCTACTACATGTCTGAGGTCCTTTCACGGCCGCACAACTTGTACATGTATGACACCAATCCTCGACCACGATAATGGACCCAGTAAAACTGTTCTCGGACCTTCAGTAGAGTTCGTTTAACTCCCAGATGGACTCTTGAACGACCATTGTGGCACAGCTGTAGAACATTCGGCACTTTAGCTTTAGGGACAACCATTTGCAAACGACAGCTGTCTCCTCGACCATTGTCCCATTTACGGCACAGGACTCCATCCTAAATCAGCAAGCTGTCCCATTGGGCCCAATAGCTTTTCGTGGTGGATCTCATCGCTGAGACGTCCCTCCACTTAGGCTTGGTAGTACGGGCCTTCATCTCTTCCAGAATCGGCTTGATGTCCGGATCTTCCTGCTGTGCATGTCGTAGGCTGTCCTTCCAATCGTTGCTGAGGTGGTCTGTCCTGAGCATCCTCACGGATACCACTTCCTTACTCTCTTGCTCAGTACAATGTTTCCAATCTTTAGGACAAGGTCTTCTTGACAATGCATCTGCGTTGCCATGAGATTTCCCGCTGCGATGTCTGATAGTAAAGTCGTATCCCGGCTGCTGCTGGGCGGCGATGTTAGCCGCACTTCCCTTCTGAGATCGTTCACCTTCCCTTTCTAGGGTTCGCTTAGGGCAGCTGGATTGAAGATGGTCCCTTTCCCCACAGTCATAGGACCTAGGGCTGTATCCTTTATTGCGGTCGCGAACCGTAACTGCTGCAATCTCCCTAGCACGAGGGGAACGACGATCCTGCCACCGCCAGGCGGTGCCGTTAGCTGCACTACCCTCTCGAGATCGATCAGCTCTCCTTTCTACAGTTCGCTTAGGGCAGCTGGAGCGAAGATGGCCCCTTTCCCCACAGCCATAGCACCTAGGGCTGTATCCTTTGTTGCAGTCGCGAACTCTAGCTGCTGCAACTTCCCTGACGCGATGGGAACGATGATCCTGCCGCACGGCTTCCACCTCCAGTGCATGGGCCAAAGCGTCCTTAAGCGTCTCGTGGTGCCCGAGCCTCACAGCAGCTCTGACTTCCAGGTCGCGGATGCCGTCGATGAATGTCTGCACCAGGTTCCCTTCAATGAGCGCAGGTACAGACCGGTATGCTTTTCGCACCAGCTTCTCCATCTCTAGAGCCCACTGCTGCAGGTTTTCGTTGATGCGCTGCACGCGATCTTTAAGCTGCGCACGAAAGACGTGTTCCAGGTGAGCGTCGCCATATCTCGCCTCCAATGCCTCAAGGAGTTGCTCATAAGTCACTTCCTCACCGAGAGCTTCCAGAACTGTTAAGGCCGGGTCGCGCAGGCCTAGTGTTAGAACAGTCATGGCCTTACTTTTATTCCAGCCGTTCGCCTTCATAACAGCTTCGAACTGGATTTTGTAGGCTGACCAGGAAGAGGTACCGTCGAACGGTGGCACCTTGAACCCACGTAGCGAAGGTGTTGTAGCTACTACGGGAGCTGTAGCTCCATCTCCAAGTTTGAGTTCGTCCAGTGATTTCTTCATGTCAGCCATTACGTTGTTAACCCGATTGTTTACTTGGTTGATTCGGGTTTCAGCTTTCTCGATTCGGGTTTCAGCTTTCGCGATTTGGGTTTCAGCTTCTGACAGGCGGTTGTCATGCTGAGCAACCATATCCTTCACCTCCTTGATCTCCTTCCCGAAGGTAGCGTGAAGATCCTTCATGAGGAGCATCTGCTCTTCCAACAGACGGACCTGTTCCTCCTGTCCGTCCCGCAGCTGCTCTTCCAAACGACGGACCTGTTCCTCTTGTCCGCCCCGCAGCTGCTCTTCCAATCGACGGACCTGTTCCTCTTGTCCGCTCTGCAGCTGCTCTTTCAACTGACGGACCTGTTCCTCCTGTCGGCGAGCCTGGTCCTGCAGCATCACCATCAGAGCACCTAAGTCAGGTGCTGCAGATGTAGGAGCTACTGACGGGCCCGCAGCCGGCGGCTGGCCCTCCGACGTCTGCGGCGTTGCACCACCAAATCTTCTTTGGTCCGTCTCCTGCTGGCGTTGACTTCGGGTACGGACACCCTCCGTTTCCTCCTTAGGTAAAATGGGCATGATTTTATCCTACTTTTGACACCAATTGTTACGAGCTTGAGGTTCGTGACAATAAAAATTGCCGATAGAATTACCTAAATTAACACTTTAATTCACTTTACACTAATTAAAGTTAAAAACACTAATAATTAATTACACTGATTCACTTTATTCCGCTCCGAAGCTTCGCTTGTCTCGCCAACTTCAATACTTCTCGATCGCATCTTGCAGCGCCTATTTATATAAATTAGCAGCGAAATATCCAGAATATTCAAGTAAACACGCGCAAGGTACCGAGAGTTCGTGTCAAGTTTTTCCACTTCAAGAAGTTTAGTTCTTCGGTTCGAGACTAGATGGCGCTAGTGCTGTCGACTTGAGCGCGTAACAGTACCAATATGTCTAAACAGAGAGTGTAAAGCGAAAGGGTATCTTTACTAATTTCAGTAATAAAGGCTTCATTTTATCGAGATATACGGTATAGGTAAAGTAGCCATTTTTGCGGCATCTTTACCTGTGTTATGTTTTTGGTGCTGCTTTAGTGGTTTTGCAGCTATGAGGAGCAGTGCATTTATAAAGCAATGTAGAAGTACTATATTCATCGAATAAAAAGAATAGCTTATTTATAGGGGGATAAGTCGCTCGCGTCCGTAGGCTATGACCACCTATTCCTAGGCCCACCCTACATGTGTCCCCCGGGTGGTGCTAAATGAGCGACAGACTCGGCTCCACGCCGTGGTAGCGGCGTAAAACATACTAATACTCAATATTTTCGCACCATGAGGAACTATATAAAAGAAATGGCTCCGAGTTCCCGGCGCCCCTTTAATGGGGCAGGGGTGCGAAGAATCTCCGGGAGGAAAACCGGCGACGAGGTTCGCCACCAGTCACGTTCTGTCTCCCGAAGAGGCGAAAAGCGGATTGCAGAGGCCCGTCTGGCTACGTTGAATGTATGTGGGGCAATGAATGATAAAATGGATGAAGTATGCGATATGATGTATGATAGAGGAATAGATGTGTTATGTGTAAATGAGACGAAAAGGAAGGGGAAGGATGTCACTACACATGGCATGTATACCGCATACTGGTCTGGTGTAGACGAGATCGAGCGGGCATGCCAGGTGGTAGATATCATCCTTTCAGAAAGAATGGGCCAATGTGTGAAAGAGTATGAATGTGTAAGCCCAAGACTGCTATGGATACGAATGAAAGTGGGCTTAAAGAAGTTGTTAGGGGTCTACGCCCCAGACATGTCTAAGCCCACTTATATCCGAGAGCAGTTTTGGGAAATGGTAAGGATGGTGTTAATGAAGTGTAAGGGAAATGAATATTATGCTAGGAGATTTTAATGGAAGGGTTGGGGTGAGAAGGCTTGGTTATGAAAGGATATTGGGAACGTTTTGTGATGAAAGTATAAATGAGAATGGTGAAAGTCTCCTCACCGTATGTATGGAAAAGAATATTTTTGTGACGAACACTTGTTTTCGCCACAAGAGGATTCACATGTATACTTGGGAAAGAGGTGATGATAGAAGCATGATAGATTTCGTAATTGTGGATGAAAGATTGAGGAGCGCAGTGGTAGATACAAGAGTTTACCGAGGTTCTAACGTAGGAACGGATCATTATTTGGTTTTATGCCGAATTAATGGTCTATTCAGGCGTTGGCGCCATCGATCATCTGGGTCTACCACTGCGTTACAGAGTATTAGAACAGA